TAAAATGCAGGTAAGGCTGGGGAGGAGGCACGGGACTGGGTTCCCAGGAGCACTTTTACCTGGCTGGGCGGCTGACCCCAGTGTCCTATGTATGGGCTTGTGGCCTCTGACAGGGACCTGGGGGAACCTGGTAACTCAGAGCTCCTGTGTGCCCAGGATCCTTGGGCTTCTAGGCCTCTGGAGAGAAGGGCAGGTGTAGCTGCTGATCTAAAAACTTCCTGAGAAACCATGTGGGTAAGGGAAGCATGGAGTGTGCTTTTTGAGGAAGGGGTAAGGGAATAGGAGAGGTTTTTTAGTCTCTGGAAAAGAAGATACTTCAGGGAAAAACTCCAGTAGGCTCCAAAAGGTGTGAGAAGTGGTTCTCCCCTGTCCCAAGGTAAAGGCAAAGGGGATTGGACTGGCTTTGGTGCTGGGGGGTTTAAGTTGCTCCCTGGAAGCAGTCAGATGGAGGAGGCAGCTGAGGAGAGCCGGGCGTGGGCACTGCACTGCAGAGAGCAGCTTCTGGTGCATAGTAACACAGACGGTCTGACGGATGGTGCTTCAACTTAGTTTTTCGACTCTACGATGATTAGGAAGCCATACGCGTTCCGTAGAAACCATACTTGGAGTTTTGATCTTTTCCGGCGCTGGTGGTTATGTGGTACGATGCTCCCTCGTGATGCCCCACAGCGGTGGCCTCCCAGGCAGCCACGAGACACACTCACAGTGCTTCTGGGCCTGTCGTCTGCGTTCAGTACAGTATTCAGTAAGCTACACGAGATACTCAACACTTTATTATGCAGTAGGCTTGGTTTAGCTGGTCTTGCCAACTGTAGGCTAGCTAAGTGTTTGCATTCAGGGGCTAGGTGAAAGCCTGCGCCGTTCACTGGGTTAGGTGGAGTACAAGCATGTTTGACTTGACGATATTTTCAACTCATGATGGGTTTACTGGGACTTAACCCCATCATAAGTTGGGGAAGACTTGTGATAGCTGTCACTTTGGTTACGTGTCCACATCTGCCTTGTGCTGTTTTGCCAAACTGTATTATACTCTGATTGTGTGTGGGCACCTTCTGTGCTAGACTCGGAGGGCTATTGTGATGAGCCAAAACAGGTATGTTTCCACAATGCCCTGGGGTGGGGGGTGGTGGGCGGGTTCTCATGCTACTGGGCCGGTCAGAAATGAACGAAGCATGTAAAGGTCTCTTATCACTGTGCTAAGTACCCCAAAGGCCAAGTTTAGGGTGTCCTAAGAATGTAAAACAGGCACATATTATAAAGTCTGGAGTGTTAGGGAAAGGCTCATTTCTTCAGATTGGGTATTCTTATTTTGCTGAGGAGGAAATGAGTTCAGAGAGGTGAAGTCACTTGCTCAGGATGGCACAGCAATTTGGGCAGAGTTGGCTTTTAGATGTGCGCGGGTCTGTTTCAGCCCTTTTCTCTCAACCACCTGATTCTAGGAGCATCCTGGGCTCTATGACAACTTGATGGCTACCTGTTAATTAATCTTCATGGGCACTAGTGAGAAAGGGATTTCTTCTCTCCATTATACAAATGAAGAGACAGAAGAAGCTCAGAGTTAAGTGACTTGCTTAAGGTCACACACGTCAGCTGGTGGCAGAACCCAGGTTGGGGAGCTCGAAAGCCTGTTCCACTGACCACCCACCATCCCCTGAGTCCCCTTGTCCTACAGCTAGAGCCTGCACCACTCAGCTGCAGAGTAGCAGAGGGACCGCACATCGACTCCGTACTCGTCACCTGGTTTTTTCTCTCCTTACTTAGTTTTATCACCTACAGCTTTCGCTCTGTGCTGGGAGGAATGAGAGCAGGATGGTTCGGGTCCAGAGCTTGGAGCTGATCCTCTCCGAGGGCCTCTCGTGTCTGTGGGCAGGGAAAGGGACCACTCTTGGAGCAGGCCTGTGCTCCAGGAGCTCCTTGAGAGGGAGGGAAGGAGCTGCCCAAGGACCCTCTCTCCCCAAAACACGAGACCCTGGGAGGAGCCAATCAGGTCTGGGCTGTTGATTCTCCATCAACACATGGGTCCCAAGAGACCAGCGGAGAGCCAGTGCCCAGGGCCCGAAGTTGAGGCAGACGCCTGTAGAAGTGGAAGGGACCTTGTCTGGGCGGTAGGACCTGGCAGGGTTCCTTGGTGGGCACCACGTCCTGGTGAACAGATGGGCGCCTCCAGGCCAGCTTGGCTGGTCCCTGGGAGTCCTTCTCTTTGTTGGCAGAGACCAGGATGAACCAAGCTCTCCAACATAAAGATAAACCCCAGTATCCAGCTGGGGTACTCTTGGGGGCTAAGTGTGGGTTAAAAAGGCCATCGGCGCTCCAAGGGAGATGTCCTAATGCAGCACTTTCCAGCAGAAATAACAATTCGAGCCTCGTGCGTAAGTTTAAATTCTCCAGTAACCACATTAAGAAGTGTAAAAAGAAACAAGTGAAAACAATTTCATTTAACTCCATGTATCCAAAACATAATAATTTCAACATAGAATCAATAGCCATTTATTCATGAGCTAGGTTACATTCTGGTTTTTATCCTAAGCCTCGGAAACCGGGCTGTAGGTTACACCCTCATTTGCACGGGTAGTGCCCGGGTTGCCAGCGCTGTGGCCGCAGGTGGTGGGTGGCTACGGTGGTGGGCAGTGCAGTCCTAGAGTTAATTAGGGCTGTTAATCACCTCTGCCTTCACCTTCAGCCCTGGGGGCATGGATGGCGGCTCAGCCTTTTGCTCTGGGGACGCAGCACCAGAACCACCAAGGCCTCGAGGCCCGCCAACCACTCCTGTACCCGTGTGCCCAGCTGTGCCCCCAGGTCTCTGGGCTGCAGTGGGAGAAAGGCTTGGAGGTAGGAGCTGGTGGGACAGGATGGAGGCAAAAACCCCTTAGGACCCGAGTGGGGAGCGAGGAGGTGACCTGGTGGCCTGCCCACGCCCGGCAGAGCGGTGGGTGTGGGACGAGGCCGCAGAGCTGCCAGGGATCACAAGCCCACAGGCCCGCATTGTTCGCCTGTCACACTTCCTTTGGCTTTATTGCCTTTGTCCAACACCCTATTGTCTGGTTTCCTTTTGTCCCCCTTTCAGCCCCGCTGCCTTTTATTTTCCAGCCGGCCTGGTTGTTTTCATTTCTTTTGTCTGAAGTTCCTGAGAGGAAGGTTTTATTTTCAGCGGTTTGATTAATTCACAGCTTGAGCCTGGGGTTTGTTTGTTATGTAATTGCTGCCCTCAGCTTCAGGATAATACCCCCCTCCCCGCTCGCCCTGCCCCCCACCTCCCCACCTCTGCCCGGGCCCTGGCTGGGTGCCCCTCCCTGTGCCCGGATGGGCCGAGCCGCCCGCTTCCTGGACACTGGCCAGGCCCCTGCGTGGTGACAGGGGACCCTGGGGCCGGACCCCAGAGCCAGATCCCGGAGCCTTTTCTCCCAAGCCGGGGTTCTTAGGGTTGGGTCTACCCGGCTCTGCTCTCCCTGCAGTGCCTGGTCCTGGGTCCCATGTCGGTCCCCAGGGCACCCCACCCTTTGAAAGTGGCGTGAGAAGTCTGCTCTGGTGAGACAGCATCGAATCAAATACACCTTACTCAACTGTAATTGTTTAATATAAAACTATAAAACACCGCACGGGACTTCTGGATCCAGCACAAAGCCTCACATCTCTGTTCCAGGAAACATTTTGTTTTACGGAGTTGACGCCCTATAGGGTTCTACACCTGCAGTTCAATTTTAAGGGATGTTTTGCTATATCCAATCTGTGCCTTACACTCGTCTCCTAAAAATGTAATGCCTGTGCAGAAATTCTTAAATTTCTATTTAACAGTGGTTCTCAAACTAGTGGGTGTCGAATCACTGTAGGGTTTGTTAGTTTCCTGCTCTGCCCCCAGTTTCTGATTTGCAGGTGACCCATGACTAACTCCCACGCAGCCTCCGGGCCCGCGCGGACTGTGGGTCTGTTGTAGGGACCGCGTTTCTGCGGTGCCTCAACACGGGGTGCTTAACAAGTGCCATGCAGCGTCCTGAACGGATGCATTTTAGCATTGCCTAGTCCTCAGAACCGCCCATTTTACAGATGAGGAAATGGGTGTGGCAAGGTTCAGTAACTTTCCCAAGGTCCCATAGTGGGTGTAGGACCTACGGGTACTTGGCACTTGCTGCTGCTGGGTGTCCCCACTGGTCTTGTCACAGTGACCTTGGAGCAAGTGCACTGGGGGGCCTCTGCTGCTTTGGCTCTGAGCCTGGCATGACCACCGGCATCGCTCCCCGAGATCTTTCCATTGCTCAGCTGTTCCTGGTGTGTGTGGGGGGGGGGGGGGGGGGGTAGCACAGGGGAGGCAGTGATGGGAGCAGTGGGTGCAGAGGCTGCTTATGGGAGGTATTGCAGATGCCTACAGGGGCCCATGAGAGAGAATCTAAAGGAGAGACTCTGGCTAGAGAAAGGAAAGTATTTTTCTTCACGCCTTACATCTCTCAGCCTGTTTATTTCCCCACTTTTGGTAGATATATGGATATAAAAATAGCTCACTTTTATCTTGGGAAAAAAAAAAGGATAAATGTATATATGGGGTAGTTAACACTTGGTTCCTCCTGTAGGGACTGAGGAAAACTGGCGTGTCCATAGAGGGCACCTGCTACTTAATTCCAGCCCGTTGTCGCCCCAGACCAACTTCAAGAGCCGTTCAAATCCGGATTATGTGATGTCTTGTGACTTTTTAAAAAATTGTCAGCTAATTACACACACACACACACACACACACACACACAGTTTTCACTTTGCTGGGCTCAGAAACTGCCAGTTGATCATTCCTCCTTTGGTGGACCATCCCGCCAGCCAGCTCCAGCAAGGCAACAGGCAGGGCCTGCCGAGGGCTGGGCCCGATTGACTGCAGACCTTCCTATTTAAGAAAAGCGCAGGACTGAAGACTCTTTCCTGATTTTTTTTTTTCACTGTGGGTTCCAAACAGAAGTTTGCGCTGGGCGAGGCTGGAGTGGCCGCATCCACCATGTTTCCCTCTGCTCCTCCTCCCTCAGGATGCCCATGAGGAGCCCGGGCTCTGCCCACCTGGCCCCGGATGGCGTTGGCACCATGGTGAACTGTACCGTCAAGTCGGAAGGGAAGAAGGAGCCCTGCCATGAGGCCCTCCAGGGCTCGGCTGCCGCAGCTGAACCCCAGCCCGGAGACCCAGCCCGGGCTCCCCAGGATGCTGTTGACTCCCAAGCTCCAGCCCAGGTGCCTGGCACTTTCCCTGGGGCTCCTGGGTCAGTGTCCCTGCTTTGCCTTCGTAGCCCACACCCACGTGCCATCCCCGGCCTTTCCTTGAGGCAGGGTGGGCGCCCACTCCCCTAGCTGGGCAGACGGGAGGCAGAACATCTGTCGCTGGGGCAAGACTTCGGTGGGTGGGGAAGGGCTGCCAAGTCAGGCCACCTGTCCCAGCGGTACGTTGTCTCACCCCTGCTCACCTGGTACTAACTGCTCACCCACATGTGACCCAGTCCTTACCTCTGAGGACTCATTGGAGAGACAGGATACATCTGCTCGAGGTTTACCTACCATATGATTGGAGAAAATCAGCCTCATTACCTGAGCCTGAGATCAGCTGCCGTTAAAGACCATTCAGTCCCCCGTCCTTAAGATGAAGGCATTCTGAACTACATGAGCAGGGAGGGTTCTTGAAATCCTTAAAAATCCTGATTCCATGCAAGAGCTGTAAAAAGGGGGAAAGTGTAATTAAAACCAAATGAATGAAAATGAGAATTTTAGGGCCCTGAGGAGGGATCCAGCCCGGAGGGGTCTGGGAGGGGTTGGGGGTCCGGGTAGTGCTGAGGAAGACTTCCTGGAGGAGTAGGGCCTCGAGGTGGGCCTTAAAGAATCGAGAGGACTCAGAGTTGGGGGTGGTGATGCCCTAAGGAGGGTGAGGTGGGGTCCCCCACCAGCCGCAGGTTTGGCTGTGTGCAAGGGAGTCCTGAGGACGAGCTCGCTGCCCGCTCAGACCGCGGCAGTGAGCCTCATTCACGTGCATTCGCGTCCTTGATCCTGCAACAGCCCTGACAGGGGAGGTATTTATAGTTCCGTTTTCAGAAGAGGGAAGGAAGTCAGGTTCAGAGAAGTTCAGAGTCTCATGTGGGATCAAGCGCCTCGTGAGTCACTGAGCCAGGCCTGAAATCCTGATCTCTGGTCGGCAAACCTTTTCTGCCTTCACTATATGGGGCAAAGCCAGAGGGAGGGTTGGGAAGGTGGGGAGAGAGGGCCTGGCGGGGGGGTGCGGGGGTGGAGAGGGAGTGCACGTCCCAGGGCTGCTTGGTTCCCCCTGCAGTCTGCCCCCTTCTCTTGAGGGTGACAGTGACATTCAGTGTGTGTTGTAGGACTGCAGCTCCCCTGAGAGCAATGGGTCCCCGGAACCCAAGAGACCGGGAGCTTCTGAGGCTGCCTCTGGAAGCCAGGAGAAGCTGGACTTCAACCAACATTTAAAAGAAGGTAGGATGTCTAGGGGCACCTAGGTGGCTTAGTCCGTGGAGTGTCTGACTTTGGCTTGGGTCATGATCTCGGGGTCTTGGAATTGAGCCCCAAGTCAGGCTTCCTGCTCAGTGAGGATTCTGCTTCTCCCTCTGCTGCTCCCCTTGCTCTCTCTATCCCCCACAAAATCTTGGGGGGGACAATAAAGCAGGGTAAGACGTCTGCCCTCGTTGGAGGCGGGCATGGGGGGGGGTGCCAGGAATGCCGTTCTTCATCCCTTTCGTATCTTCTAGTTGTGCCCGCCATCGAGAAGCTACTGTCCAGTGACTGGAAGGAGAGGTTTCTGGGAAGGAGCTCTGTGGAAACCAAAGATGTCAAAGGTGAAGGCCCATGTGGGTAGACAGGGGAGGGTATCTGAACCCTTTCCCTCCTCCCAGCCTGGCCATGCAGTCTGGGCCTATAGGGCTATTGGGTGGGGGGCGGCTCTGGGTCCCCTCCTGCCTGGCCTCGGGGGTCGGCACCATCCCTTCTCTGGGAACTGAGTATTCCGTCTGGCCTCTCTGGCAGGAGAGGCCTGGTGGGAATCGTGGTCCTTGAGTATGGATTTGGACTCTTATAGGAACCCTTGTGACCCCCGGCAGGTCAATGCCACTTCCCGGATCTGTGTCTAACTGTATCAGATGAGCTGGACGTGCCCTTTCACTGCTAAAAATTAATTCTGGGCCACCAGGACCTCACTAAGTAAATTCAAGGGCTGCTGCTTGGTTCACGAGCGTGGCTGCTTTCCCACTGTGGTTGGTCACAACCCCAGGGGAGCTTGAAGACCGTACAGATGCCCAGACTCCACTCCACCTGCTGAATGAGAACTCCAGGGGCTGGGGACCTGGGCATGTGTCTTTGTTTAAGGTTCCCTGAGTGATTCTGAGGCGAGTGGTCTGCAGCTTGGTCCGGTGGCATCTGTCACGAGCTCAGCTGGAGGGCAGGAAGCAGTGGCCCTTACTGGGCGAGAACCATGTGCCAGATTCTGGACCAAGCCTTACCTTCATAATCCTAGCCCCACGGCACCCTTGTGAAGGGACTGCTCTTGTGCTCATCTGTAGATTAAAAAATCCGAAGCACAGAGAAGTCAGTTACTTGTCCAAGAGGCCCCAGACAGGATCAGTTCAAGTGGGAATTTGAACCCCGGGTTTCTGCACGCCTCCTGCGTCTTATTCCAAGGCCTGAGCGGCCCCTCCTGTGGGATAGTTACCCACACTGATCCTGCGGCTCGGGGCACTTGGGGACCTCCAAGAAGTGATGCGGGACTGAGATGTCCCACGGCCGGCATTTCCAGGGGCTGGAAGCAGCAGCTGTGGGTGGGAACCTTCTGGGGCAGGTGGTTGTCTGACAGCAAGCAAGCCTCCTCCGGAGCAAGGATCGTGTCTCCGTCCTCTGTCACTTAGCCCCTAACAGGGAGGGACCCGGGAAGTAGCAATTGCGCAGTGAACCTCAGGTGGGTGGGAGGACGCATGGGTGGGCAGATGGCCGGAAAAACAACATTCTCACCGGTGGCTGTTTTCTTGTGGAGCAGGGACCCAGGAGAGCCTGGCCGAGAAGGAGCTCCAGCTCCTGGTCATGATCCACCAGCTGTCCACGCTGCGGGACCAACTCCTGACGGCGCACTCTGAGCAGAAGAACATGGCCGCTATGCTGTTCGAGAAGCAGCAGCAGCAGATGGAGCTGGCCCGGCAGCAGCAGGAGCAGGTAGGTCCTGGCTGGTGTCTGGCTGTCTGGCTAGGGGAGGGGGAGGCTATCAGGGCCTGGAGGGAAGCACACTGGGGGCAGCCCTGGTGCGTGCAGGCCGAGGCAGGGGGCAGGGGCCCTAGGAGTCCCAGAGGGGGCCTGCAGGGCTCTGTGTGAGGGCAGCTGGCTGCTTCCTGCTCCACCTCCCGCCGTGGCCTCTGAGGGAGGAGTGAGCTTGTGTGGAGAGGGGGAAGGCACTGTGAAGGGGGGCTGCCTGCCTCCTGCCCTGTCCAGGGCACGGTATGTGTGGGGGTGGCGGGCGCCGGGCTGGGGCTGAGGGCCATGCCCCCTGCTCTTTCCTGCCGCCAGATCGCCAAGCAGCAGCAGCAGCTGATTCAGCAGCAACATAAGATCAACCTCCTCCAGCAGCAGATCCAGGTAAAGAAGGGGGTGGCCAGAGGGCGGGGTGGGGGGCGGTGTGTGTGGCGGTGATGCCAGCTGGGACATGCAAGGAACAGGGAGGGACAGGGCACAGGTTAAGCAGAATCACTCAGATGTGACCCTGAGGAGGGGGGCTCATTTCTGCCCTGGCCCCAGACCCTCGTCACCTTCCTCTGTTTTAAGGGAGCGGCGGGAGTATTCTTGTCCCCAGCTGGGGCTGAGCTGAGGGCAGGGAGCGGGAGGAGATGTGGGATCCGCTGGAGCCTTCTGAAGACTGGCCCTGTACTGGACACTGGGCCTCAGGTGTCTGGGGCCTCCCACATCAGGGGTCCCCGCGCCGTGTCCTGGGCTGAGCTGTGTGGGCCCGCAGGGACTCACACAGGGTTTCTTCACCCTCAGCAGGTCAACATGCCTTATGTCATGATCCCGGCCTTCCCCCCGAGCCACCAGCCCTTGCCTGTCACTCCTGAGTCCCAGCTGGCCTTGCCGATTCAGCCCATCCCTTGCAAACCAGGTGAGTGGGGGTGGGGTGCGGTCGCTAGCAGAGGCTGTCCTGAGGTTTGGGAAGGAGCCCGGGACCGCCGTCACGCATTCCTCTGCCATGTGGCCTTCCCGGGCCTCACTTTTGGATCTGTCCAGTGGAAGGATCCCTTCTTTCTGAGCTTCACTGCGAGAATAAAACACAGTAGCGCTTAAACACCGAGAAGTACTTTGCAGACGGAAGCTAGTGTGGCCGGTCTGGGTGCAGTTTCCCCAACTCTGGTACCTTTACTGGGCCAGAATAGTAACCTCTCAGACATTCACTGAGGTGTCTACATTTCCCAAACTCACACTCCTTTTTTTTTTTTTTTTTAAAGATTTAATTTATTTGACAGAGATTACAAGTAGGCAGAGAGGCAGGTGGGGTCGGGGGGCGGTGGTGCATGTGCGGGAAGCAGACTCCCTGCGGAGCAGAGAGCCCGATGCGGGACTCAATCCCAGGACCCTGAGATCATGACCTAAGCCAAAGGCAGAGGCTTTAACCCACTGAGCCACCCAGGTGCCCCCTCACTCACTCTTGTCTCTCCCCAACCATGCCCCTTCTGCCCCACCACCGAAATCCGGTGAACACAGACTGAGTGCCAGCCACCTGTCAGACGCTGTGATGTCCGGTGGCCACGGGGTGATCAGGGCGGACTTGGCGCTTTGGGAATATGCCGTCTGGGGAGGGAGGAAAGATGCTTGTAACCGGGCAATCTGAGAAGGCTTTCTGAGGAGGTCAGAAATTAACTAGGGCCTGGGAGGTGGACTGTGGGTTTGAAGCTGAGGGTCAAGGGCAGTCTGAGGCCAGAAGCTGGCCAGGGTTGGAGTTGAGGGGAGCGCGTGATGGGGTGGTCATGGAACAGGCTGGCGAGGGAATCTTTTGTAGAACCAGATATGCTTGAATGATTGAACAGAGGGTGTGTTGTCACACTGACTGTGGGTGACGGGGAGCAGAGAGGGACGGGGGGTACCAGCTGGAGCGTGAATCAGTTGGGGAGGGGGGCTGCTCAGGAAGTTCTAGGGACAACCGGACAGCCTGCGCTCGGGCGGAGGTGGTAGGACAGAGGCACAGGGAATTCGTAGGCCATGATTATGGATTCCTTGCGAAAGGTGACAGAGCAGGGATGTTGCCCATAGTTGCCCCAGGAGTGGGGACTGCTTTTAGGTTGAGTCTCTCCGGTCCACCCTCCCTGTTCTGTGTGCGAGACCAGGCCAGTGAGTTCCTGTGGTCCTGCCACCAAGGCCTGTGGGCTGTGGGCACAGTTCGCGGGTCACTGACTCTGCTGTTGCTTCATTCTATACCAGGCACCCCTGGGGGGTGGGGCCACAGAGGACTGAAAAAGTTAGGCCCTGTCTTTCAGGAAGCTTCCAGCCGGGAAGGTAGGGAGACTAGGAAGGGGGAGCAGGCCAGCAGCATGGACCCCTGTTTTGTAACTCCAGGTGATTAGAGCTGCTGGGGTGAGGAGGGCAGGGCCTGGGGGCATTGGGGTGCACCTGTCCCCGTGTTTTCTGGACAAGGGAGGCAGGAAGTAAGCTGTGGAAGTCCTCAGTTGGCCAGATTGCCACCTGCTTTGTTGGCTCCAGAATCCTAGTAAGCAGAGGGCCCTTCCCCAAGCCCAGTGTGGAATGCCTTTCCCGAGCTCACAGGCACTACACCGTGCCCTGACGCCTACAGCATGGGGTCCCCAAACTCCCAAGGTTGCCCATCCTGGGCCAGTCTCCTTTCTCCCAACTTGGCTTTCAGCCCGCTGCTCCCCTCTGGCTGGCCACCTGCAGCCACTAGCCCCAAGGAGCCTGCTCAGGCCACCCCAGCTGGAACCCAGTTCTTCGGCGTGCTACCCACATGGGCCGCATCCTCACTGGCCTTGGGGTTAATGATTTGTGTACACGGCTGCGCTCTCCACCTGAATCGTCCGCTCCTTGACACGGGGCTGGGTTGAGGGCGAGTGAGGTGGGCCCAGTAGGATGGAGGGGTTGGGGGCTGCGTAAAGGGAAAGGGTGGGCTGTGGAGTCTCGAGGACCTGGATTCCTGGGTCTGTGTTCCCATTTCTGAGCTATGTGGGCAACCCGTCTTTTGTCTTCCCATTTTTGTTTATCTGTACACTGGGGTGCTGGCCTAAGTGCCTGTTGTATGCCCCACGCTAGGGATTACCATGAGCCTCTGCGGGAGACGGGCTAACATGGGGAGCGGCTTTCATACCCCGAACATAGTGGGTACGGAACACAAGTACTCATAGAGTGAGCACTGGTTTATACCCGTCCTCTGTCACCACTGGGTTGGAACCTGAGGTTCTGTGGGATGGGAAGGGCAGGGCAGCCGGGGATGAGGGCATGGGAGGCCTTCGGCACTCTGGGGCTGGGGAGAGACTTGGCTGGAAGCAAACTGGGCTGGCTGTGAGCCTCTGTCCCCTTGGTACCGCTGGGACCTCGTCAAGCAGGCGGTCTGCTGTTCTGTGCTCATCCAGGACTTTTCTCCTTGCCGCCTTTTCCATAGTGGATTACCCCCTGCCGCTGCTGCACACGCCCCCTGCCCCCGTGGTGAAGAGGCCCGGGGCCATGGCTGCCCACCACCCCCTGCAGGTACTGTCCCCTCCACCCTGCCCCTGGTCTGGGGCAGCCTCCCTTGCCTGGGATGTCTGGGGTTGCCTCCCTAGGGGTGGTGGGGGCCCTCCTCTGTCCTTGTTCACCTGTTCCTGCCATCTGCTTGTCTGTCCCCGGTATGCTTGTCTGTTTCACTGTTACCATGTGTCTCCTCTGTCCCTCTGGATCTCCGTTAGTGTCTGTCTCAGCCTCTGATCTCTGGGTCTCCCTCAGGAACCCTCCCAGCCCCTGAACCTCACGGCCAAACCCAAGGCCCCCGAGCTGCCCAGTGCCTCCAGCTCCCCCAGCCTGAAGATGAACAATTGTGGACCCCGCCCCCCCAGCCATGGGGCCCCCACGCGGGACCTGCAGGCCAGCCCGCCCAGCCTGCCACTGGGTAAGCTTTTGTGCCAGGAGGGCATCCTTTGGCCCTGGGCATGTCCTTCCCTTCTCTGGGTTATAGTTTCTGGAAAACCGGGGTTAGACCTGCCTTTGGCCTCTTTGTTTCCACACTTAGCATCTCAGAAGCTCCCCTGCTCTCTGGTCCCCTGCCAGATCTGACCGGGCACCCCCACATCAGGGATCCAGGCCACTGAATTGCACAATTTCAGGGAAAGCGGTTCTCTAGTCTGTTGGCACACTGTGCAACAGCCAATGTAAACCGTGCCCACTTGGGGATGTGTGGTGCTGAGGGGCAAGAGGGGACCCTGAGCCAGGTGAATAACTTGCAGGAGTAGCTTGGTGTGGACGGGGTTGACCCCCTCTGCTCCCCTTTGTCCTCCCATAGGCTTCCTCGGTGAAGGGGACGCTGTCACCAAAGCCATTCAGGACGCTCGACAGCTGCTGCATGGCCACAGTGGGGCGTTAGAGAGCTCTCCCAGTGCTCCCTTCCGCAAGGTACGGCCCCCACTCCCCTGCACCAGGGCTTAGGGATCCGACAATAGACCACGACTGGGGCGGAAGACTCAAGTCTGAGGCCACCAGAGGAGGGGTGAGGGAGGGCAGTGGGGTGATGCAGAGGGCAGTGGAGTGATGTACCGATTTCCTGTCAACCCCAGGACCTCATCAGCCTGGACACGTCCCCGGCCAAGGAGCGGTTGGAGGAGAGTTGCGTGCACCCGCTCGAAGAAGCCATGTTGGGCTGCGACATGGACGGTGAGGGCCCCAGGCGACGGGCTGGTGTGGAGGAGGGCCCTCCTCTGATTCCCACAGGGCCCAGGGTGGGTCAGGTTGTCCTGTCCCTGATGCCTTTTCTCCCATAGTCTGTCTCTGGAGTCCCCTTGTGTGTCTGTCCCTTCTCAGTCCCCAGTCTCTGGCTGTGCCTCTGATGAGGTCTTGCTGCTGGTGTCCGTGGTGGCTGTGGGAGCCCCGCCATCGCCCCCTAGTGATCAAGTCGGAGATGACTGCCAGCCCCGGAGGCCTCCTTACCCTAGAGGAGCTGCCCTGCTTGGCTGACTCCAGCCCTGTCCCCTAGGCTCCCGCCACTTTCCCGAGTCCCGCAACAGCAGCCACATCAAGAGGCCCATGAATGCCTTCATGGTGTGGGCCAAGGATGAGCGAAGGAAGATCCTCCAAGCCTTCCCAGACATGCACAACTCTAGCATCAGCAAGATCCTTGGTAAGGGGCAGTGAGTGGGGTATTGGGGGGCTCTCAGGGCTCCGGGAGGCCGCGGTCTCCTTGCTGGGTGACAGTCCCCATCATCCTGACTTTCAGAGGAGTTTGGAGTCACAGTGGTCAGGCAGGATGTTTAGAGGCTAGGTCCTGGGGTCTTGTATCGTTGTAGGGCTCTGCACCCAAGAACTAGGGTGTGTGTTGTCTATGTGTGTGTGTACGAGTGTGTGCGCGCGCATGCATGTAGATACACGTTCTTTAACCCTTGATCTCTCCCTAATCTGTTATGTTTGCCCAGACCCTTGGATGTCTGGCTCTGGCAGGAAACAGGAAGGACTGGTGTTTCTGGGCTGTCATTAGAAAGGTCTTTTAATAATATATATGTAATCAATAATTTTTACTAATCAATAATTTTTACAAAAGTTTTAATTAAACTCAAACTCCCAACTGAGAGTCAGATGCTTTCCTGAGCCAGCCACTGCCCCAGTAGAAAGGTTTTTTTAAAAATTCTAGGTCCTGACTGGAGGTCGAGGAGGGATGGGAGGGCAGGTGGGGCTAGAAGTCAGCTGTTGTCTTCAAGATAGACACCCCCACGTCTTGTCAACCAAGACAGTTGACAAGGTGTTTTGCCTTAAGCAGGGGGCCGGGGGAGGGACTGTCTGTTGTTGGTGGCCTGGGGTTGGCTGTTTTGTTTATGCAAATCATGCAGACCAGAGGCCTCCCAGAAGTTGCTGGGTAGTTGGAGACGTGGGTGCTGGGTATATAGACACCAGTAGGTGTGCCAGCTTCATTCATTTGCTCCTCGGACTCCAAGGAGTACCCGTGTTGGGCCAGGTTCTTGCTAAATGCTGGTGCATAGATCGCCTTGTGGTCTCACTTGGGGACCCACGTCTGGAGGCCCCTGGGGTGCTAGGGAGGGTGGGCGGAGCCCCGCACTGATGGCCCGCCCCGGGGGCTGGGCCAGGCTCCCGCTGGAAGTCCATGACCAACCAGGAGAAGCAGCCGTACTATGAGGAGCAGGCGAGGCTGAGCCGCCAGCACCTGGAAAAGTACCCCGACTACAAGTACAAGCCGCGGCCCAAGCGCACGTGCATCGTGGAGGGCAAGCGGCTCCGGGTGGGCGAGTACAAGGCCCTGATGAGGACGCGGCGCCAGGACGCCCGGCAGAGCTACGTGACTCCGTGAGTCCCGTGTCCCTGCGCTGCGAGGGCTGGTGTGGGGCTCCGGGGTGCTGTCTGTTGGCCTGGAACGCCCGTGTGCGTGGGCATCGTGTGGGTCTCCCTGCGCCCGCCCCGTGGGGCTGCAGGGGTGTAGGAGATAGGTTTGTGCCAGGCTGGGGAGGGACTGGCCATGTGTACCTGGAGGAAAATGTGCATGTGAATCACAAGCTCCATGAAAAAATTCAGGGCTCCTAAAAACAAAGGTGATACTGTACAGGGAGTGCCTGACTTGACAGAAGCAAGTACCTTCGTGGAGTCTTGTAAATGGAAACACAACCCCCCCTCCACCCCCACACCGGGGCATTTAAGTCTAACTTCCAAATGCTGGATTCGTACATGATTCGCTGGGAGTATCTGGGGAGCACGCTCAGGCCCTGAGACCGCAGGTGTGTGCCGGTCTGTGGCTGACCGTGAACATGGCCGTCGGGAGGCCAGCCCTGGGGGCAAGAAAGAGAGCTGAAAGCACCGTGGTGGGGAGGGAGGGCATGCCCCAAAGTGGCTCAGGTGGTGGGGGCTGTTAGGGGGTGCAAAGTGAGGGTCCCTCGAAACGTGCCTCTTCTCTGCCCTGTAGCCCCCAGGCCAGCCAGCTGCAGATGAGCTCCCCTGACGTCCTGTACCCACGGGTGGCAGGCGTGCCCCTGGCTCAGCCCCTGGTGGAGCACTACGTGCCCCGGAGCCTGGACCCCAACATGCCTGTCATCGTCAACACCTGCAGCCTCAGGGAGGAGGGTGAGGCCACGGAAGACAGGCACTCGGTGGCAGAGGGCGAGCTGTACCGGTACAGCGAGGATGAGGACTCGGAGGGCGAGGAGAAGAGCGACGGGGAGCTGGTGGTGCTCACAGACTGATCCTAGCGGGATGGGTGGGCCTGGCCTCCTCCCCCCGGGAAGACCTGGCCCTCAGCGCATGGGTGCAGCCAGCCGGCCTGGACTCTGTTGGTACTTGGACTTGGGCCTGCCGGGGAGAGGGGCACAGCTGTGCACTTGTAGATAGCCTCCTGGGGGGAAACGCCCTCCCCACCACCCCTGTGGCTGTGCCCAAGGAGCTGCTGGCCTTGCTGGGCAGGACCTGTAGGGTGCTCTGGGGCTGAGGGCCTCGGCCGGCGGGGCTCATGGCCAGCGGACACTGTAGGACCCTCCCCTCCTGCGGGTCTCCTCACTCCAGGGATGTGGCAGCTCCAGACCTGTCCCCCTGGGGCCACATGCTTTGTTTCCATTCTCGTCCTGGCTGGACCAGCCCCTGTAGGACCAACACCCTCCCCCATCACACACCCTGCCCCCCTTCCCAGATCGCCCCTCTATCCCAGGATCACTTTGTACTTTGTGCAAAAAGGTCTGGCTGTCCTTTGCTGTCTTGATCTTCTGCCAAGCCTGTGGTGCCTCTGGCTGCTGTGTTGATGCGCGCGCGTGTACGTGTAGGTATGTGCACACGCGTGTTTCCATCTGTTCACTCATTGCACAAGGGATTTCCTAAGCGCCTGCTCCGTGCCAGGCACCATTGCTAGGTTCCTGTGGGTGTGTCTCTCGATGCCATTCTTGCTTCTCTGGGGGCCTCTCCGTGCTTCACTGTCCCCAAATTGCTACCTCTTTGTCAGTCTGGGTGTCTCAGGTTCTGTGTGTCCTGCGTGTGTTTCTGTCCTCGTTTCTCTGCAGGGCTGTGCTTTTCTCCCTTTCTTGGGGTCTGCCTCTGCCCTTTGGACACCGCTGGTCAGCCCCAGGGCCCACCAGCCGCTCTGACCTCCCCCTGCCTGTCCCTTCATTCCCTCCCTGCCTCTCCCCTGCCAGCTGGTTCCCACAGAGCCATTTTTAGCTCCGAGCACATCGGAATGTGCCCAGCCTCCAAGGGGGTCTTAGTGCCCCAGTCCCTGGTCCCAGCCTGAGTGCCGGGAGTTGGGGATAGGAGGATTGATGGCGCCCCCCCCCCCCTGCTTCCTGACAGTTGATAGAAGCCCTGGAGAACCAGGGCTGCTCCTCATGGCAGCTGGTGAGTGGGCAGTGGGGGGGGCTCCCCATTCTCGGGCTGGTGAGGGGAAGACTGCCCCTCGCACCTGCCGGCTCCTTTCCTCTCCCTCACTCACTGGGGAAGTTGCCTCACCTCCTGCTCACAGGGACAAGTTGTGTCCCTTAGAAGAACCCCACTGGCACCTGACTTCAAAGATCCAGAACAGCCCTTGGGTCAGGGTGGGAAGGGAACCCCAAACCCCAGAGAGGCAGTTGTGGTGTCTGTGCCAACCCCCTCCCTCAGTCGCCTTCTCTTCCTCCCCCCCCTCCCTTCCCTTCAGTCCAACTTCTCTCCAGGCTGTTTCTTTTTTTATGACTGTAAACATAGATAGTGCTTTATTTTGTTAATAATAAGATAATGATGAGTAACTTAACCAGCACCTTTCTCCTGTTTACACTTGGGGAATTTTTTTGTTTTCTGTTGGCATAATAAAGACAGACCATTTCAGAATCTAGTCCTTGTGAGTGGGGGACCTGGGAGGCTGGCCCAGAACCACAAGTCCTAACTGTGCTGCTAGCCCAGGCACCACTGCCCCCTTGTGGCAACTCCCCAGAACTTCGGGTGTGGGATCTGGGAGCCAGCCTCTGAGCCCAGTGAAGCCCAGGCCAAGCCTTTGGAGGGTCAGAGGCCACCCAGAGATCAGCCTGCACCCCGAAGAAGACACTGCCCCTGCCTCCAGGAGGTAAGCTAGATCTCCCCACGCATTGGTCTACCCCGGTCCTAAGAAGGAAGGCAGTAGGGAGAGCACCATAAGCAGTCAGGAGGCCACTACTGGCCCTGTGGCCTTGGCTGGGGAGGCGGGTGTCAGGTCTCCCGTCTGGGCTTCATCCGAGGTTAAGCCTTATCCGTAGTCTTTACCTCCTTTTGGAGAAGGAGCCCCATGAAAACCTAATGAAAGCGGTGGACCCTCCTCCCAGGAAAGGGCTCCCATGGATGCCCCAGTCCATTTACTCCAGGATACTGAGTAATGAAGCAGGGGCGCCAGTGATGTGCTTCAGGGCTCTGTGACCTTTGTTTTGAATGAGGATTTCAGACACGTAAGGCACTAAGAGAAGTAACAGCCCATTAGACTTAAAAGGGCTGATGACAAACCAAAACTCTCAAAGTGCTTGTTAACAACCATCAGTAAAAAGACCAACTCTTTATCAGACATCAATCCCATTGTATGGAATGGGTCAGCAAAGCTGAAGGGTAATTCTAGTGGAAGAGTGAGACCTGGGTCAGATTAATAGAGGTTGTGTGTTCACAACCGGGGACATAGGAGAGGGTGGTGGTGAGAGAAGTTAGGTGTGCTTCATTCCAGGGTCTCTAACTCGGGAGAAGACTCCCCGGGGAATTACTAAGTCCTGGCTGCTGGCCTTTTCGAGTTTTTCCTGGCCCACACTCCCAGAGCTGCTCTCTTAGCTCGGGTGGAGTTAACAAGCACAGCCCAGCCTCCCTGGCCCCCCAGGGAAAGACAGAGGTGGTCCTTGGGAAGATGAGGGAGGCTGATTGCAGCGCCTGCCCTCTAGTGGTCATGGGGAGAATTGCTCATTTTAACTTGGCACTGCCGTCTCCCACCAGACTCCACTATCTCCCACACTGTGTTTCTAACCAAATCAGGGCCGTCTGTCAGGACACTCCCAGCCAGCCTCACCCTCATCCCCTGCCAGTCCTGAGTTCCTCTCACTTCCCCATTCCCAGGTCCTCTGTGGCCTCGGGAGACTGGGGCCAAAACCATCCTCCTCCCACTATAGGAACCCTTGTCCTGCCCTCATGGAATCACATGTTCTGGATCCTTCCAGGATGGACAGTGCCCTCCATGAGGACTGTTAGTTGGTGTCCTGGAGCCCTACCCCTTCTGCCCTGGGAGAGGCAGCACAGGGTCACATAGGCGATGAGGCCAGGAACAGAAGGTCCTAGTCCTTTCCGGGAAGCCTAGGGCATTCTCTGCCCTCTCTGTGCCTCCGGCAAAGGCTGAGGGTCAGAGCCCAGCAGAGATGAACCTCTGCCCTGGTGTGCTTTGGCTAGAGCTCCTGTAGAGCCCACGCACCCTCCCCTTCTGCCCCCCCTTCCCCGGGGAGTTGCTGAGGCCTGGTGCTTGGAGCAGGGGCGAGGGGAGCTGGTTAGTCTGGGGTCTGGGGTGGCAGTGAAAGGAGAGCTAGGACTCCAGGCTTTGAGGGGGAGGGGTGTCCTAAACTACCCCTCCCCCACCCTGCCCCCACTTGTCCCCTCCCCTTGGAGCTCTGGAGGAATGAGGATGTTTTCTCAAAGGCAGTGGGGTGGTGCCTGCAGGTTCCCTCCTTTGGTGCAGGTGGTGGCGGGGGGCCGTAGGGGCACAGGATGGTACCGGGGGGCCCTGTCCCAGCCATTCCCTGCTCACCACTGCAACACCGTCTCCAACGCTGTGACATCAAGGCCCCAGGAGGCTGGAAACGAAGCTGCCTTCGCAGTGGTTATTTCTGCCCTCAGCTCCAGAGGTGGATCTGAGAGGAACAAGGAGGGTGGGCACTGCCCTTTAGTCCACGAGAAGGCCCTGCCCACGCGTACCTGACCCCATGGTACCCTTGAGGGGCCCTGCCTGCCCAGCCCTGGCACCATCACTAGGCCAGGCCTACCCCATGTCCTCTCCCATACCCTTCCTGGGCTTGGTACAGCTACCCGGGGGCCCCCCCTGGCCACACTGGATCACCGTGACCTTGAAGGCCCCAGCTGCTGGGTCTAGCTCTGCTCCAACGGTTGCCATGGCATCCAGTACTTTTGCCGGCAAAAGCCAAACAGCCAGAGTCTACCTGGCAGGCGGCCACTGCTCTCCCTGTTCTTCAGGGTACTGGGTACCTTCTGGCGGGCCCTGGAGGCAGCACAGCGGTAGCAGCCCAGGCTGCCGACAGGGGTACCCTGGCTCTCCTTTCAGCTTCTGGTCTCCCTTCCCTCTGGCCTTCTGAGAAAGTAACAGATTGGTTCCAGAAGTCATCCTTGCCTGCTTTCTAGCAGAGCAGCACCCCTCCCCCTCAACAGCTAGGAGCTAGACTGGGGGCAGGAAGAAATCCTGAGCACCCTCCCCCAGGGTCTCTTGCCTGGTTACCACCTGGCGGAGCCACAGTTGGGCTCCCTTCCCCAGTAGCAGTGTCCTGGACTCCCTTATTCTAGCAGGACGGTCAGAGGCAGAAGAGTGATGAAAGCACTAGCTGTGCCCAGGCCTATCCCGGACCAGGAGCACAGGCCTCATGAGCCAGGTGCTCGGAGGATGGGGGAGGAAGGGTGCAGCCCCAGGGAACCCTGGAGAAGCAGGTGCAGCCACCCCTACCACCCACTGGGAGAACTAGTCCATTATACCCTCTATGTCAAAGTCAAATCCTCACCACCGGCACTCAGACACAGAGTGGTCCAGAAATGGCCATTTTAATGCAGAAAACCATGATAATTTACAAATGAATCACTTTTCTAGGCCAGAGCCTGGAGGCTGTGAGGGCAGAGAGGAGGTGGAGGCCGAGAGGAGGTGGAGGCCGTTGAGAGAGTCGGGAACCAGGACCGGCCGCTCAGCACCTTCATGACCCACCCATCCTACCCAGGCTCTTGGCCGCACGGCGAACCCCGAAGTCCCTAACCCTGTCCCCTTGACTCCCACTACTCATTTCCTAGCGGGAAGTCTTTGGGTCAGGACAAAAGGTGGAGAGGGAGAGACAAATCCTTGGAAACGAGGGCCTGGAGGGCAGGGAAGAGAACAAGGTGGGAAGCTGCTGGCCACGGTGGCCACCCTACTCTGGCCAAGCACAAAGCGGAGCTGGGCTCTGGAGGCCCAGGAGGGCACCACTCCCTTGCCTTCCCTCCCAGCAGGTGGCAGAGGGACAGAACACAAGCACAGAGCAAAAAGGGGAAGAGAGGGGAACACAGGTCCTGGGGCAGAGGTTTGGGAAGGGGTGGTTTGATTGGATCTGGCTTGGAGAAAGGGAGGGGATCTCGGATGAGGCGGCTTTGGGGAGCCGTTAACCCTAGTTCTAGATCATTCCCCCCAGATATGTACATCCATCTGTCAGAGTTGGCATGATGCTGGTTTGGGCTCATCAGCACCTCCCACGTGGGGCGTGCAGGGGGAGATGGGCTGGAGGCTCAGGGCACTGGAGGTAGAAAGGAGCCCTCCCACCTCCCCTTTTCCCCAAGCCAGGAAGGTCGAAGACACATCTAAGGCAGCCCCGATTCCAGCGTGGCCTGAGGCCAGGAATACCGGGCTTCCCAGGGGTGGTTATGGTCCAGGCCCTGGCTGACTGCAGGCACTTCCCCACCCCCAAATCTGGCATGGTGAAGGGGACCCCCAGAGCTGGGTCCTATCAGCCCCTCCAAACAAAAGAACGTGGTCTCCAGCAACATCCATGGGGTGGGGGTGGGGGCTGGCAGCAGGGATGGGGCCTTCTCCCTGGACACCCACCTGTCCCCTCTCCCACCTTGTCCAAGGGGGCGGACCCCAGAGCAGGACCGAGCCCCGGAGAACGGGTCTGGCCGGGCAGGTGGGTAAGGGAGAGATGGGGAAGCTGGTCACTTTGGCATCTCCAAGGCTGACACTTGAGGCTTCACCTTGAAGTACTGATGGAACCGGATCACTGCGTACCTGTGGGAGGGAGAGCAGGGGAGCCCGGCTGAGAAGGAAGGCCAGGTGGGCCTGCCGGGGGTGGGGGACTCACACCCTGAGCAAGTCTCACCAGCAACATCCCCAGGCAGGAGAATGTGGTTTTTTTTTTTTTTTTTCTTAACTTCCAACTATTTTATTTTTCTTAGATTAGACTAGAGCAGTCCTTCCCTAAATGTTTTTTTCTTTTTTTCCAGTTCAGCAGTGTAAAGTACACTTAGATCTTTATAAACAGCCCTCCAGAACTTTTTCAGTTGGCAAAACTGAAACTCTGTACCCATTAAACAGCAACTTACACCCCCCCCACCCAGCGCTTAGCAAAAACCACTCTAGTTTTTTTTTTTTTTTTTTTTTAAATTAAGTAACCACACCACATGTGTGGCTCAAACTCCTGACCCCGAAGTCAAGAGTCACATGCTGTACTGACCGAGCCAACCAGGTGCCCCCCTGCTCTGGTTCTGTGAACTTGACTAACTCAGTTACGTAACTGGAATCCTACAGTGATGGTCTGTTTGTGACTGGCTTTCGCTTAGCAGGTCCTCAGAGGTCCTACGTTCTAGCATGTGACCTGGTTTGCTCTCTTTAAAAAGCTGAGGAACACTCCCTCGTGTGTGTAGACCACCTTTGTGTCCCCAGTCAGCCGTCATGGACATGGGGTTGCTCCCGCCTCTAGGCTCTTGTGAATAAGGCTATCGACACGGGTTCACACATCTCTCTCTGACCCCCTGCTTTCGACTCTGGCTGCGCACACAGCAGTGAGAATGCTGGGTGGCTCAGGAATTCTATTTTTAAATTTTTGAGGGAGCTCGGTATTGTTTTCCCCAGCAGCTGTGCCCTTTTATGTTCCTGCCAGCAGCGGCCAAGGGTTCCGATTTTCTACATCCTTCCCAATGCTGGTTTTCTGTTTCTTTGACACAAAACAGCCATCCTAAGTGTGAGGGGAAGATCTCAGCTGTGTCTTTGGCCTTTTCTCCAGTCACTATGAACATTGTGAAGTCGGGGTAGTGTCTCCTTCCCAGCTGAGGGTGGGTGGGTTGGGGGCAGACAGGGCAACAAGACGAGACCAGAATGGAGAAAGGCTAGACCACACGATTCCTGGTCCTTGAGGCCACGTGTACCTGAGATGTTGGAGCCAGGAGACAGTACTCCCCAGGTCGGCCCTAGTACCTCACTGGGAGGAGCTGAGCCTGATACCCCACGCGGTAAGCGCTAAACCACCCGAGTGGCCTCAGAGTCACTTCTGCGCTCGGAAGAACTCTGTCCCCTCTGCCATAAAATGAACACTTCCTTTCACCACCAGGCTCCGTGGCCAAGAACTGGCTGCAGAACGGGGGGGCAGTGAACTAGGTCGTAAGATGTAGGAGGGAAATCGAATCTGCTGTGAGGCATGACGGGAAGGTTCAAGAATTTCTGACTACTTTTAGCGTGGTGCTCTGGGCTCAGGTGTTTCCCCTAGAGTGGTGACACCACTGGATATGGGGTGGCTGGATTGGGGACAAGTTAGCAGAGCAGAAGAAGGGACTTTGGATATTGTCTCTGGACTGCCCTTTGCACCCACACCCTTGGCTTGAGCTACTCCTTTCCCCCACTCCCCACCGCCCCAACTCGCCCTCTGCACTCACCTGAGGAAGTCAAAGTCGATGGTGGAGAACTGGTTCTGGATGAGGGCCCAGAGTGCCCAGAAGAAGTGAGATGCCTGGAAAGGGACCAGAGTAAGTCAGCAAGGCAACCACTCCTGCCTGTCAGGAACCCCACGGAGCCAGTCGCTGGTCAGCGTTTGGGGGGCTTTACTCCCTTGAGAAAAAGAGCTCCACCTGCCAGGTAGGGGTCCGTGGGATGGTGCTTCTAATGCTAAGCATAGCTCCATTCCTGGCATCTCCCCTGCCCAGGGGAGTCTCCCCGGGCCTTCAAGGCCAAGGCACCAGGATGAGATGAACCCCTGCCCCAGAGCACAGGCTCAGTCCCATCAGGAGGACCCCCTTAACTGACGCCCTCCAGCCCCTTTCCCTCTTCTGTCTGGAAGTGGGCTGGGTTGGGAAACGAGTGTAGGTGTGACAGCACGAGGCCCTGAGTCTGGGCTCTAAGCCTTCATGTGCTCCCCCCTTGACCAGAGGAGCCCTTAGGACAAGACCACCCCCAGGCTCAAGAAGCCAGAGCCTGCTCCCAGCTGTCCCTGAGCAAACAGTGGTGACATCATGACTAGCCCAAACCAGGGCACCCCACCCCACCCCACATCCTGCTCAGCCGGGGTTTGGCTGCACAGCACCTACCTCCACTTTTTAGGACTTCAAGGGGCATATAGACCAATTAGCAAAGTGTCAGTGATGACATGAAAACATTTAGCAAGAGGCAGGCCTAAGTGGAACAGTTAAGAAGCAGAACCTGATGGGAAATCAGTTTTGTGCCAATGAGGAAAACAGGAGAGGTAATCCAAAATGACAGGTAAGTAAAGATTCTATGTAAGCTCCTCGCTGTATTGTGAAATTCAGGGCAGTGGACCTGTCGTCTTGCTTCTGCGAGGCTGGCGTTAATAAGACTAGTTAGCAATCCCCTGGGCACACACCAGAGGAGACCGGCCACGAACCAGGTACCCTGGATGAATGGCATTCCTAATCGAGAACTGACCGCTCGGTAATTTGAGCAGGAAGAGCGGGATGGGAGAGACTTATATGCAGTTGAGTCAGTGGCAGTCGTTAACAAGGAGGATTGGAACTGACATTCTTTATCTCCTCCAAAGACTTAAAAAAAAAAAAAATGAGATGCATTTAACGGCAGCATGAGAGGCTAAAGTTAGACACTAGAGAGAATTACTTGTCCAAAGGAGAGAACTGCTAAAACAGGAAGCTGGGCTCTTTTTTGAAAGTCTTTCCCTAGGAAGGAGAGACTTGGGTAGGGAAATGCAGGGAAGAGGGCACCTACGTGTTCTGGGGATGCCCAAGAGGGCTCTTTCCAGACCTCACTTCCAGGGTGGGGGTTCAGGAGCAGGGGCTGGGGTCTCAGGACCTCACCTCTCACCCTGACCTCTGCTTCCTTTGCCCTGGGCTGTTGGAGGAGCTGGGGGTGCGTCCTTCCTCCCCTGCCGCTGGCCCCCGACCACCACCCCTGCGAAGGCACTTACCAAGGCGAACTTGTTGACTTGCACGTAGAGCCTCTCCACCTCCCTGGGGGTCACGGCCATGCCCTTCTGTGCCTGTAGGTAGTAGTGCAGCCACTGCAGCTGGGTCTCCCGGTTGGGGTAGCGGCAGTAATCCACCTCGTTCACACCTGAGGGGGAAGCGGCCACACGGCAGTGGCTGAGAGGCGGGCCCACCTGGGGCGGGGTGGGGGGGGACTCCTCCAGCTTACCTGTATACCCTGCTCCCCTCAACCTTTGTGTACGTCCTGTGGGGCTGTGCCTAGGAATACAGCCTCTCGACCACTGAACTTACCCAGTGTGGGGAGCTGGGGGTGCTGCTTTCCGTGGGATGGAGGAAAGCCGAGGCAGACTGGTTACAGGGCAAGGCACGATCTTGGGTGTGACAGGGACCCCTAAGACAGCATCGTTGTACCCCTGTGCCTTTCAGAGCAACTATGGCCCACAGGAGGTGCTCGGCCATAGCACCCCACCCGGGGCCGCCTCTTTGGTGGGATGCAGACCAGTGAAACCCCACACAAGGCCTTCCCGCCCATGGGCCAGAGTCTCCCATCTAGAAGTGTGGGTCTCTGACTGCCTCCTGGACCAGTGTTGAGCTGGATCCTTCAAAACATCACCCAGGGAGCTTGGTAAGAAGTTCCCAGGCAACTCTAGCCCCGTGTCCAAAACTCCAGATAACTCAGAAATGCAGCCAGGCTTGGAACCCCGGACCAGGTGGCTTCCATTCCTTCCGGTCCTGCCCTTGAGTCCTCCAGCTGCCAGCCCGCCCAACGCACCCCAGCCACATCCCTGGCCCAGTGGCAGAGGTTGGCCTTCAAGCTGGGACAGAGAGCTGCAGTTCACTTAAGACAGGAGCAGGGCCGCCCTGCCCATGGTTTCTTCCTCTCTTTTCCTCCCTGTCCTTCCCAAGCTCCCCTCACTCCTGGAGAAATACACTCCATCTCCTGGGGTCCCAAGAGGATGGCTGAGAAAGAATCTTCTGGTGCAGGTGTAGAAACCCCCAGAGAGCAGAAGCTGCTCCCAGGCAGCCATGGAGAGGGGAAGTCAGGGATGGAACGCTCACCTCCTGCCTCCCAGGACTGGGTCTCCCTGCTCCCAAGAACCCAGGAGTGCTCCCTCCCCAGCTCCCAGTCTCCTTCCCTGCCTTCCTCCTTCCTTCACAACCTGAGAGCACAATGCAATCTGCCCCTTGGGAGAAGTTCCAGCTGGATCTTGCCCCATGTGGGGCAGGAAGGCTTAAGATGCTTCAGAATGATCCCTTCTGGAAAGGCTAACAGGTCTGGCAGCTGAGCGCCCACAGGCCCAGGGCCCTGCCCAGCTGAGGCCCCACTGTCCCTTGGGTTCTTAGATGCCACTGGTGGCCATCCTGGGAAGTCACACTCTCAGGTACAATGAGTGCTTGACAGACCCAGTCACCTGGGCTTCTCAAAGGGACACAATTGGCCAGGCTTAGGCTGGGGAGTAGCCGAGGCTGGACCAGGTACTCGGTGGCTTGACAGCTGGCCTGGGTGTGCCTCACCTGTCCTGCGCCCCAGGGGCTGGCCCCATTCCCCTAAGCACCCCACACTACCCAATGTCGCTCCAGCCCCAGTGTCCAACTCCATCCCTGAGTCGCCTCTCTGGCCCCATCAGATCCTTTAACAATGAAGCTCTCAAGCCAGAAAAACCTGCCCGGCTTCTTTCACACAAATGCCGCTATTGTACAGCCTGGGCCTTGACCGGCCAGCACAACCAGACACCCCTCATCCAGCTGCGTCCGTTCCGGTGCCGGCCTCCTTAGCTACCAGAAAGCTTCCCTGCCTAGTACCAGTGAACACCAGTAGGAGGCTTAGCATGTGCTCCTCTTGTGTGTGGAGCTCACACTGATGAGAAGGAGGTACAGTTAATACCTCCACTTTGCAGAGGCCCAGAGAAGGTAAGTAACCAGCCCCAGGGTCACACAGCTAGTAAGCCTCAAAGCCAGGGTTTGAACGTGGACAGTCAAGTTGCAGAGTGTGTGCACGTTCCACCTCGATTCTCTCGGGACTCCAGCTTGTTCTGCTCCTCCTCTGCAGGCAGGACCCTTATGATTGTGCAGGCAGTGCTGGGCAGAAGGCAGCCTGAGCAAAGGGACAGGCAGAGGCTGTGCCTGGCCCATGCCAGCCCTACTACCAGGGGTAGAGGAAGGGGGCTTTTTCTTAAAATTTTTTAATTTTCTAAAGTAATCACCCGATGTGGGGCTTGAACTCATAACCCCAAGATCAAGAGCCACATGTTCCACCGACTGAGCCGGCCAGGCCCCCAGGGGTCTTTTCTAACTCGCATGCCAAGCCCGGGATCCTAGGGAGGGGACATTGTCCTGATGGGTACCCAACTGCCCGATGGGCTGGCAGGGGTCTGCTCTGTGGGCGGGTCCGGCCTCACCATGAGCCTTGGAGCCCCCTGCCAAGGCAGGCTGTGCCTCCCCTCCCTGAGCTGTGAGATTTTGGACGACGGGCTGTCACGCCTCCCCGCAGTGAGGGCAGACCCCCGCCCCCATCCTCACCCTGGACCTGGCCCTCCATCACGAGGAAAGTGTCTTGGACCGAGACAAACAACAATACCCTTCTCACCTGCAAACTCGTTGAAATGGTTGCCAATGTCAAAAGCTTGGTAGTTGTAGCCGGCGTACTCATAGTCAATGAACCGTACGTGGCCTGTGAGGGAAGACGGCGGCCATGAGGGTGGGTCCCGGGAGAGGGAAACGGGGCCCGATCAAGTCCCCACAGACCAGAATGCCCTGGTGGCGGCAACCCAGCCCAACCCACTCTCCCTGGGGGTGCCCTCGAGGCTGTTCATTTGTCCCCCTGCCCCCCAGCTGTCCGCACACACGTGGCTACTCAAGACATCTGTCCTCCGCGTGGCCAAGGAGCAGAGGTAAAGGTCAGGGCCCCCTGGGGGTGGAGCTCTCATGGGGCACACAGAAAGGTTCTGTCCCTAGGAAGGCCCGGGCCACCCCAGATGTCCTCAAAAGCCCAGAGTATTGCAGCAGGGGGGATGGCTCAGGTGGCCTCACACGGAGGACCTCCACAGACCACGGCATAGATTTTTTCCAAGTGGAAATGTATTTCCTTCTCCTTTTCTTAAGTTAACTTGAGACCTAAACCGGAAGGTCGCCTTTTGCTCATCCCGGGGCGGTCTGAGCAACGGCAGACGGAAGGCCGCGGACCGCCAGGGTGTGGCCCAGCTGCGGCCCAGCCAGAGCCGGGGAAGGCGTACCTTGGGTGCTGTCGTAGATGATGTTCTTGCAAAGCAGGTCGTTGTGACAGAACACCACCGGGGAGTCCAGCTGCGACAGGTGTTCCTTCAGCCAGGACAGCTCCTGCTCCAATACCTCCACCTTGGGGACATCTACGGAAAGGCTGGGCGGCGGCAAGAAAGGAGGCCGGTGAGGGGGAGGGCTGACAGAAGACAGGCGCTGGGCCTCAGGAGCCCTGCGTGCTGGCCCCGTCGCTACCTGCTGGGGACCCCTGGCCAAATGGGCCGCCCTTCAGACCCTCACCTTTGTCGTCTGGCACTAAGACGTCCTGATCTCCTGACTTCCTGCAGTTACCCTAAGCAGCTTATTAAAACACGGGTGTAAGAGCCTTTTGCAAAGCACACATGTCCCTGATCCAACAGTGTCCGTGCTACTTCGTGAGAGGGCGGGGAAGGTAAGGAAGGAGGCACAGGAAGGACGGGAGGGGACGACGCGTGTCTGCACTCAGTTGTTCCAGACGAGAACGAGGGCAGAGGTCTGCTCTCTAAAACAAGACTGGGGAGGCCTCACAGTGCCCTGCAGAGGGGCTGGAGCATAGACACTCCTGGTCCGTCCCCCTCCTCCTCCAGCAGCTGGGTGTCGCAGGTGGAAAGGCCCAGAGAGCTCATAAAGGCTAACTTCTCATCTCACAGAGAGGCCACTTGGGCCCACTGAAGGAAGCAAACAAACTGCTTCTTGGGCTCACTCCACCAAGACCAAAGGAATATTAAGGGCTTTCAGTCGAGCACTTGCTCTGTAGCTCCCCAGTGACTTGTCCCCTGCACCCTGAACTAGGAGCATGTGTGTCCGTGTCCCAGACCACGCATGCGTGCACAACTTGTATGCAGGAATACAGATGACAGAGGCCACCCCTCTTTCTGCCCTACCCCTTCTCGTAGTACCTAAGGTCTCGCTGCTGAAAGAAACCTGTGTCGAGGAATGAATGAATGAATGAATGAATGGGTCCCTCGGTGCCGGGAGCAGAGGCCATGGAGAGGCTGTTGAGGGCACACTGTGCTGGGACGCTCTGAACTTTGGTCCCCAGGAAGCACACAGGTCTGTGTACACTGAAAAACCAAACAGTTAGCACAGCCCTTAAAATCCAGAACCACCAATGGGTGGAGGGGAGGAGGCTGGGGTTTTATCTCCTGTTCTGTCTCCATGTAGCTGTTTGCTTTCTTATCCGGGGCAGCCCGAGTATGTGCGGGAGGATGAGCGTGAGATCCGTCCATCCTCCCAAAGGATGCCCCATCCCCCCGTCACGTGGCCCGGAGGCCAAAATGTGGCAAAGAGCATTCAGCGACTAAGGCGTCCCCCTGTCCCCCTGGGAAAGGCTGAGTGGCAGGCTCCCTCCCAGGCTTTGAGACCGTCAAAGCTGAAGAGGATCTGAGGCCTCTCATCCAAGTTGTCAAGGAAATGGAGGCTCAAGGAAGAGCAGAGGCCTTCCAGCTTCCAGATGTTTCTTGCACAGCTGAGCCCTCTTCCCCCAACCTAAGGGAAGCAGTCCTCAGCCTGTTCAGGGATGCAAAATCAAGCCAGACCTCCTAACTGCGAGGGTCCCGGTGCCCCTCAGAGGCTCTGCACAGGCCGCTTTGAACTGGGGGGGAGACTGCCGGAGATGATCGGGGGAGGCCTTCCTATATCCTCACCGGAGTTTATCTGGGTTGCCCGGTCTACAAAAACGCCTTTCAGTCTTGGCTCTCCTTAAGAAGATACCCTTCAAGATTTTTTTTTTCCTTGCTCGAAGACCATCTAAAGATAAGAATTAGGAGGCCTCCTTTGGTTTGCCCAGGTCTCAGCCTGAAAAACACGTCTTTGACATCTAAGATACGTGCTGCCCAGGCCCTGACCGCCGCCTGACCCCCACCTTACCCAACCCAAGGCCACGCAGATGGTTACTGGAGGAGCCATCCAGGCCTTCTATCTCCCTGGGCAGCCTCCCTCTGCTGCCCCACTTCCCGCCCCGGGCCACTTGAAAGCCTGCCAGCTTTGCTACCCTCAGCCCTGACACCACTAGACTTTCTCAAGGCTGTGGGGTTGGCAAAATAGTAACCGCCACTGTGTCACAGAAACTGTCACACCCCAGGCAGCCTGCCGCTCCTACTCCCTGGTCCCTCAGAGGCAGCAGGATGAGGGTGCAGGGTCCCCCCACCCCATCCCAGGGAAGCCTGGGGGTTCCTGATGAAAACACTGCTGCTTGGGGCTCAGTTATCCCAGGGTCATGATCCCAGGATCCTGGGATGGAGACCCATGTTGACGGAATCTGCTTCTCCCTCTCCTTCTTATCCTCCTCCCCACTCGTGCTCTTTCTCTCTCAAATAGATAAATAAAATCTTAAAAAAAAAAAAAAAAGAAAAAGAAAAAGAAAAAAAAAAAACCACTGTTGCCTGCCAAATGTCCCCACAGCTCTCCGGATATGGGCGGATGGAAGTACCTTCTCCCACAGCAGACTAAGTGTCCCAGCTTCCTGGCTCATCACCTTTGCCCTGATACCACACAACCATCTGCACCTCCTCCTGGTCCCCCGAAGCAGGGACCACCCCCACCCTCTATGCCCAACCAAACACCAAGGCCACCAAATCTATTTCCACAGGGTCCCTGACACACCTGCCACTCTCCACCCTCCCCCCATCACCATGAGGCTGCCCATGGATCTTGCTCATTCTTCCTGAGCGGGTCGCCCTACCTCCAATCCCTACCCCAACTTCCCCAAATCCCGCCCGACTCTGTCCCTTACAACACCAGAGAGCCTTCGTCCTAAACCACAGTCATGGTCCCTGCCTGGCTCAGAGGCCCCCGCAGTGACTCCCCACTGTCTGCTAAACAAAATGTTGGCTCCCTAACCTGGCTTCAAAGGGTCCTCCCAGTCTAGTTCCACCCCACCACCCACAGCCCTTTCCAATCTCTCCCGAAGGCCCATTCCAGCCACCCTCATCCACTTGCCACCCATGAGCCAAGTGAGTTCACACTATCTCTGCCAGCCCGAGTGGCCTCACTTCCCAGCTCTGCCCCTCCCGCCTCTGCCAGGAAGACCAGCCCTGGTTCTCCCACCCTACATGCATTATACACCCTGCCTTCTTTTGTCACTGTGCAAAGGCAGGTCCTATTTACCCAGATGGTTTCTGAGCTCCTTGAGGGCAGGGCCAATGTCACGTCTATATTTTTCATTGTTTTAAATCCCTGTTGATGTTTGTGAAAGGCAGGATTGACTAAATCAGGGGTATTAGACTGTGACTAGAGCTCACGAGTTGCATCTTGTCCCGGTGACTGCTCATCACTGCCCCACTTGGGGCAGCTTAGGTCATTTAGGACATGCACTGTCCCTTAAAGAGGCTCTGAGAAGTTAAACAGCTCAATTTGCCAAGGTCAAAGGTATGACAAGAGCAAAGGTGGTCAGTTCTGCAAGGACCACTCCACTCCCAACAAGGTCACCCCTGAAGGTTACATGGTAATAGTACAAAGGACTGGACTCTAGGCCTTGAGCTGCCACTGACCTTGGGCAAGTCCCATCCCCTCTCTGGACCTCAGTTCGTCCATCTACCAAATGAAAGTGGTGGGCTGCACGATCGGAGGGCCCTGTTGACTCAGACACCCCAGGGTCCTGCTCTCCATGTGCTGTGTTAGCCCTAGGGGATAGGCAGTCCTTGTCCCAGAGATAACATTTGGCACCGAAGGTCTGAATGTGGGCCATGCTGGACAAATAGTCCGAAAGCAGGGCTTGATAATCATTAAGTGGGAGGATCCAGATAAAGTCACGCGTGTGTGTATGATAGAGACACATGATTGGGATAGAGATAATTATTGTCTTGTCATCTTGGAGGAGGGAAGGAGATACCCTACTCCCATGAACCTTTAGAACAAGGGAGATGTTCAACCCAGCCGGGTACATGGAGGGATCAGAGACTCACTACTGCCTTTCCCTGCAGGGGAAACAGCACTCAAGGCTGTGCTGGGGACAGCCAGGCAGCCGAAGGCTAGAAGGACTTTCAGGTTGCCGGCTGGAGAGCCCGCTGTCTGGGAGCCCCGTCTTCCCTGGGGAAAGGCACTGTCAGGATGGGTGGAGTACCGATCCTTGGAAAGGGCAGTGAGGAAATGGTAAGCTGTCAGTGTGAACAAAGTGAGAGGCAGGGTCCCCAGGGGCATGTGGGGACGAGAGGCGTCCAGGCAAGTAGCAAGAGTCTTGATGTCCCAAGGGCTTGTCAACTGACAAGCTGAGTTTTGACTGACTGTGAACTCGGCCTCACTCCATTCTCAGAGGCCAGGCTCTCCCTTCTGGTTGCTCAGAAAGCAGCTTAGGTAGAAAGGGCCCTGGGCTAGGAAACAGATCCCTGCCCCCCCACCTCCACCCCATGAGCCCCACATCCTGGGTCAAGCCTAGTCTCTGAGCTTCAGTCTCCTTTAAGTAAAAGGGGAGACACAGTCCCCAACCCTCATCTCTACCACAACCAGAGACTCAGTGAGACACAAGCACACAGGCGTAAAGCTGTGGATCCAAGTTCCTCAGATTCAGTCCATCAGCCCAGCTCTGCTTGGAGACACAGACTCAGCAGTCAGGACCTAAGCCCCTCAGCCGCCAGGGAGTGGGGGTGGGATGGAGCCCGAAGAGTGAGGGGTGGAGGGATCCCATGAAGGCAGCAGAGACAGGGACAGCCTTGAACCCTCCCAGATCTTTGTACCTGGGGTTGATCTCGTTCTTCACAAGGGTGAAATAATTGTGCATCTTGTGCCAGAGGGTGGGCTTGGGCAGGCTGCCGTTGGCGTGGATGGTGTGAATCTTTGCCATTTCTAGGGCGATTAGCCTACACAGAAAACAGGAAGGGGAGAGGATCAGCGTGGGGCAGGCCCATCCCAGCTCAGCCCCTCCTGACCAGAAGGGGCTTGAACAGGGTGACGACTGGGGCCAGCCAGAGGGCTGAGTGTGGGACAGCTCTTTGAGGGACTCTTGCTCCTTCGGGAGGAGGGTCTGAAAATGACGTCAGGCCTTTAGCCCAGCATCGACTTTTCCAGAACCATAGCTGGGGCTGCTTCAGGGAGCAGGAAGGCAAAGCTGCGGGCCGCTGGCCACGGGTCAGTGACCCTGCCCCACCCCAAGGTCATGTACCCACAGCAACCCATAAGGACAGAAGGATCACCTGGGGATGGGGGCAGTGGCCCTCCTCCCTCCGGGGACTCTGATCCATGCCCGCAGGGGGAGGTGAATGCAGGGCACTAAGGGAATGAGGGGGGTGATGATGCCTGGCTGGGAAGAAATGCCCGCCTCTTATCAGCCTGGCCAAGGTAGGGAGGGAAGCAGGCCGGCCCAGGGCAGCCCTTTCCTCAGCGGCAGGGAGTTGATGCTGGCGGCTGGGTGCCAAGGACGCAAAACAAACCAGCGTTCTATTTTCAAGTTCTCCTGTGGACATTATCCAAGGTCCCGGGAGAGAAGGAGGGGGTGGTGGGGAAGGGGGCTGGGAGAGGGCGGGGGCGGATGGAGGGCTGACCGGTCAAAGAGGGAGGGCCTTGATAAGGACCCCAGCGTCTGAGGCCCTGCATCCCAGCTGGGCTCCCCCAGTCCTCTGCCAGCTCTCCCTTCTGGAGCCCCACCCCCAACCCGGCTGCCAAGCCTCCAACATTCAAGCTTCCTTCGCCTCTGCCTGTTGCTCGAATAATAATCACTGGGAAAGACAACAAAGGCATTGGCTGTTTGAAACCTTGTTACTGGGCTGTTCCAGGGACACCCCTCCCCTTGCCAGGTCCTGGGAAGGGGCAGGCTATCACCTAACAGGATAGCAGGGCAGGCTAAGGTCTCCTCCAGAAGCCCCCCAGGCTCCCACCTCCCGAAGGGCGGAGGGGGCAGGGGGCGTGGCAGCCCCGAGAGGGTGAGCGCAGAAGGCTGTGCTTTCAGAGGCCAGAGGCCCAGGGGGCAGGAGGGAGCCCGCCAGGGTTTTAGGCAAGGCAGGGAAAGAGACCTGAGACCCAGGCCTTTCCTTCCCGAAGGAAGATTCCGACTAGAGCATGAACAGAGCGTTTCCTTGAATATCAATAGGGCTGTTGTCTGAAAAAGCAATGGAAGTCACCTCAACACTCAGCATTTTTGTGCTGCAAAGCCTCAGAGAGGTTGGGAAGTGGGGTTCAGGGGAACATGAGGCCGTGGCTCTCCAAGGCCTCCTCCTCGCCTTTCCCTCAGAGATCCACCTTCCCCTGAGAAAGATAACGGGCTATCCTTGGAAAATCATCAGGGAAGAGCCTACCTCCTACACCTATCCCAGTTTCTGGCTCTCACCCAAGTGTAAAGTTATCAAACCCACATCCATCTTCAATCTTCCTGATGGTAATTGTTTCCACGAGAGCACAAGGAATGGTACCACTTCCCAGAGGTGGCCGGACACTGGGAGTGACCCAGGGACAACGTGCCAGTATTTGAGCTTATTTACACAAGACTGAAGGAGTGCCAGCAGTGTGGCGTGGGAGAAGCCAGCCCACGGTTCCCCGGGCCCCCACTCTGCTCTGACCGCCTGCTTCCAGGCAGAACACTCAGCAGGAGCCGGAGAAGACCACTGGACAGGTTTGTACGTCCCCCTAACTCCAGACAAAGACACACACACAGATACGACATACAACTGGACATACAACACAAATACCCCAGAGCCTGACCAGCCCCGGAGGGAGCACTAGAGGGAAAGCATCTCAGAGACCCTTCTAAGTCTCTGGGGGGCCCATCTGTCTCCACGAATAGGGCCAGGTGCACTTACTTGGGGTTAACTAGGTAACAGGTGAGGAAGCAAAAACTTCTTGGTCTACTCCCTAGATGACCTTTTTACTGTTTCACCTGGGTATCTGGAAAGTGCGTTCTCCTTGGCGGGGATGGGACTGAACCCGAGGATCCCAGGCTGCCCCCTGTGCTGCTGTCCAGGATCAGAAGTCAACCTCGGCCTGCCTGGGGACCTCGCTTGGCCAGAGGGCTCCGCACGCAGCGGTAGCATGGGAGGGAGGACCTGACCTCCGGGCCCACAAGGGTTAGAGGAGAGAAAAGGCACTAAGGGCTCCTCTTTAGTTCTCCCCCTTCCAGACCTTACAGAGGCAACCACGGTGCTTAAAGGTTAAGTCTGCTTCCTGGGCGCTACACATCCAGGCACTGGGAGGGGCTCCCAGGGGATCATGGGTTCTGGTGAGCCTCGGGAAGGAAGCCTTGGCAGCTTCCCAAACCTGGGCTCCCACTTTGTCGGGGAACCTGGACGGAGCTCAGACTGGGGGAGGGCTGGTGTCTCTCTGGGCTGCTAAACCCAGGCTCCCCCTGGATAGGGCCCATTCTCTTAGCATGCCTGAGCTCCTGGCAGGAGGGGAGGGGCAGGAAATCCTGGGCGCTCTGGGGATTTGGCTCAGATTTCATTTCCAAGGCTTCAAGATGTTTCCAGGTCAGATGTGGGGTGGGCAAAGGGCGGAGACATGAAGCCCGGAAGCAGAGCCCTGCTGCATTTAGGGAAGCAGATCCTTTGGTCCCAGGTTCACCAAATTCTCAGTTGCCTAAGAAGCAGGTCACCTTTCCAGCGGATGCCACTGAAAATCCATACAGACCGATGGCCCCTCTCTGCAGAGCAACGCGTGCGCACACACAAACACACATTTTCATGCAATTTCAGGAAGTTCACAGACCTTATGACTCTTTCATGGACTCCACTCTATGCCAAGGAAGTTGGCCAAGGCTTGAGGAATCGTGGAAATGAATGGTAACCCGGGCCACCTTCTCACCTGAAGAGCCGGGGCTCCCGGATGTGCTCGGGTCCCAGGGCCATGCCCCTCATGTACTCATAGCACAGCCCATTCTGGAAGGTGCAGTAGAGTTTGGGGGCGCAGCCATGTGCTCGCAGCAGCTGGAAGTTCCTGACCTCATTCTCCCGGTCCACCAGCAGCTCAGTGCGCTCCCCGTACACCCGGACCAGCACGCAGTCCCGCATGTCCTCCTCCACGTAGCAGGCCACCAGCTTGTTGGTGATGCCATCAGTGAAGCGCTGGCATGGGGAGGGGGAGCACAAGGGCGTGTGGGGCAGGGTCTCTGTTCTGGCCATGCCCATGGCTCCCCACCTCCAGCAAGGGGTGCTCATTTGCATGCCCAGCACAACCATGCAGAACCCTGCCCCGCCATCCTTCGGGAGCTCAGCACTGTTCCTAATGCTTTACCATCCTCAGTGCTTGGGAGAGCCTGAGTTCTAGAAGAAAACCTCAGCCGAGGCACCCTCACCTCTCCTGAGTTCGCTTCTAGCAGATGGGATTTGGCAGTAGAGGAATTTCCACACTCCTTGGTGGGACAAGCCCCCTCCCCACTTCTTACCCCTCCATCCCTGAAAGAAATCTCTATGGACCAGATTGTGCCCAGGGAGGATCGGGAGTTGCCCAGGACAAGTACATCCTGACCCAGCTGCCTCTCCTCCTTTGCCCGGCCCAGGACTCTTTGCTGCACCCCACACCCCATCCAGCCACAGCAGTGCGGAGTTTACAGAGGCTGGAACTCAGCGGAGGGTTTTAGGGGTCAGAGCTCCTTAGGGCCTCTGAGTTCCAAACCAGAAAAGACAAGAGGCCAGGGGCTGGGGTGGGGGAAACAGACTAGACTTTCTGGGTACGGTGACAAGGAGGACTGAACCATGAAATTGACAGGGCACAGTGTGACAGAGCCAGTAGGGGATTAAAGGACATCCGAATTAATTCTAGGTGGGGAAACTGAGGCCCAGAGAGGGGAAGGACTGGCACGTAGCATGTTCCATCAGTGCTGAAATTAACCTCAGACCTGCTCAATGCCTTGTGGGTCTTACAACTGAAGCGCATCTTTTATTTCGAAAATGCTACCCACCCATCTTTCCCCCAAGAGGTGTCTGTCAGCCTCTGCATTGGGGTGGGGGAACCTGGCCTCTCCTCACCCTGAAGGCCCAGCAGCAGGGAGGCCCCTGACACTCCAGAACTAGCCCAGCTCCGGACTTCTTCCTCCACAAGCAGCTCCCAGAGGGGCTGTTGGGGGAGGGTGAGCAGGTGAAGACCCTTTAGAGGATGCAGATCAGCTGGGGGGTCTGCCCAAGGATCCTCAGTCGGAGGCTCTGCCCACATCTGTGTCCCGGAGAATGTGCCCAGCTGGGGATAAGGAGGCCCCCCTGTGTGGGGGGGGGGCGGTGCAGAGCCTGAGCCTGGGGAGACGGGGAGGGTTTCCATCCGGCGCAGGGGCCCTGGGCTAAGCCGGAATTCCACACGGTGGCTCTTGGGACCCGCTCAGAGCCTGGAGACTTTGCTCCCACCACGGGGTAGAGAAGGCAGGGGTGTGTGTGTGTGTGCGGAGGTGGGGGGGGGCTCCCTTAAAAGTTCCTGCCTCCTCAGGTTTCAGCGCCGGCCGCGCGCTCCTGGGGCGGCGAGGGGCACTGGCGCGCGGCAACAGGGGGTGGGGCCCGCGCGCGCAGCATGCTGACGGTGGGCAGGTGGACCTCCGGGCTGCCCACGAGCCCCCAGGAGGAGGGGGGTGTGGGGACCAGGGGAGGGGATGGGTGGCCGAGGAAGGTGGGAGCCTGGCTCTGCTTGGGGACCAGAACAGATGGAGCAAAATACACACCCAAACCACCATTGCAACCCTGCCCTGCACAGCGGCCGCGCACCCCTGGGACCGCCACCCGGAAGGATGCACGGACAGACGTTCACGCATCCCCGCTCCAGCCCCGACAGGGCCCCGGCGCGGCCCCGCGCCCCCTCGGCTACCTTTGTCCGAACTTGCTCGGGCTTCCAATGCGGCCGCAGCTCCTGGATGAGGCGCAGGGCACCCGGGAGGATGTCGTCCTGGTCCACGGATATGCCGAAGCAAGGGACGGCGGCGGCCCTCGGGGCGCCCGGCGGCTCCCGGCAGCCCGCGCTGGCCGCCGCCTTCTCCTCCATGCCCCATGAGCACTGCGGGCACGGCGCCTGCCGCCGCAGGTAAAAGGGCGAGCACGGCAGAGGAGCCGAAGGGGGCACAGCCATTCCCAGCAGCCCCACCCCCTCGGAGCCGCCGCGCGAGCGCTAGCCCCTGCGGGGGGGCCCGGCGCGGCGGTGGGAGTGGTAGAGGAGGGGCCAGGGGAAGTCCATGACTCAGGAGCCCGCTGCCCGCTCCGATCGGCGCCCGAAGCCGACCCGGGAACGCCGTGGCCCGCCGCGATTGTGACATCATCACGGGCGGCGGGCCGCGGGGCGGGGGCCCGGGAACGCCCCCGCCCCGCCCCCGCCCCGGCCCGCGGGCCGCCGCGGAGTCCGCGGCAACCGCTACCTGGAGCGCGGGGCGGGGGTGACGCCCTCGGGGTGGCCGTGACGCCGGGGGCGGGGCATGGGATAGCCCCGCCCCGCCCCGCCCCCACCCGGGTCCCAGGCCCAGCAGCGCGGGGATCGCACCCCGGCCTCTGAGCCCGCGCGATGGCCAGCCTCCTTCCCCTTGCATCGGCGTGGGCCGCTCTCCCTGGGCAGCCTGGGGCAGGGCGGGAGGAGGCCTCTTCCTGCGCCCCGGTTCCAGCCTAGTGGTTGGAGATCTGGCTGCCACCAAGAGGTCGGCTTGGACTCGCCTACCTGTGCCCCAGGTCCCCGCTGGAAAAGGAGTCCCCCGCTTCATCTCAGAGGACCTTCTCCCTTCTATGCAGGGAGCTCCCCAGACAAATCCTAACCTACCCCCCCCCCCCCGCCCAACGCATGTATTAGGTGGAGAGGTGACATTGGGTGATGCATGTGGAGGATGGGTGCACGAATGGGAACTAAGATCGCTTGCCTTCAGCCCCGGTGGGAGAGCTCTCGCAGCCCCATCCAGAAAAGTGCCTACAGAGAAGGGGCCTTCTTCTGTTTCTCCAAGTTGTTCCTTTGGCCTCTTCAGGAACATCTCAACCACAAGGCCCCTATCATTATTGCTGTCCAGAATCCAGCTCTGCCCAGTGGAACTTCTGCGATAGTGGAAACGTTCTATATCCGTGCTGTCCAGCACAGTGGCCACTAGCTAGCTACCTGTGACTGCCCAGCACTTGAAATACGGCTAGTGTGACATTCGACTTAATTTTAATATAAATCGCCCTATGATGCTATGGTATTGGACACTCAGGAGACGGGGAAGCCTGCCTATTTCAAGGTCATGGAGCCCCAGGACATAGAGCTGGAAAGGACACTGACTCCAGCTCTGCCTTTTTGCAATGAGGAAATAAAGGCAGGCTGGCAAGAGAACTTAGAGAATGGGGCAGGGGGTCCCAGGCTAGGATCCAGGATCCTGAACACAGACTCACGATCTTGGCTTGGGGAGGGGACCCTGCCGACAGCTCCTGCCTTTGGGCATCTGCTCTAGAGGAGCCCCAGGGTCCCACACAGTCCCAAGGGGTTGCAATTCTGGAGCTATGAGGTTTGCCAGGGGCTTGGTTGGGCCACACTGTGCTTCACCCTTTTTGGTCAAAGGGTGACCTTTGGTCAAAGGGCTACCGCGAAGGGGGCCAGTATCCACGACTTTAGGTCGTGCTGCTTCTCATTCCCCAACATACACACCCCATGCTGGTGCTGGTCGCCCGAGGAGTAAGAGTGGGAGAGGACCTCAGCCTGTCGCGTTCCATGTCTGTGAGAGGGGGGACAGCTGTGTATGTGGTTGTGGGCTTGTGCATGTGGGCCCCTCTCCAGGGCGCGTGCAACTCTGTATCTGTGAAGGTACACCTCCATGGGTTAAGGGGCCCCCGGCACCTGAGTCATATGGGCTGGCTTCTAATCTTGACATGTTTCGATGAGCCGTCTTGGTCCCATGCCTTCCATTCTCTGAGCCTCCGTTTCCCCGCATGTACAAAGGGAGTATCAGTCAGATCTCTGGTGTTCCACATTGCCAGGCGATGGTGTCTTAGACTGCATGTGTCAATGGCGACATGGGCCGGGGGGCTAAGGGATGTGTCATGCACGAGGGGCCCAGCGGAGCCTGAGTTTGAGGCTGGCTTCTACCAGCTGGGAGCACCTTTCTGACCCACAGTCTCAGGTCACAGCATTAGCCCTGGTCCTGCAGGTGCTGCGGGGGAGCACGGAGCTGGCTGTGTGTGTCAGCAGCCCCACCTGAGCGAGGATGAATGGCATCACCCCTGCACGCAGGAACCTGTACGTGCGGGTGAGTGTATAGTTTGTCATTCTATGTCACATTCCTGTCTGCACATGATCCCTGGCTGCGTCTCTCATCTCAGACCCCAGTGAACCCAGGTGCAACAGGGCTGTGAACATGAAGTCTTTATTGTTTGTTCTCGAAGCAGGGAAGCGCTGATGCTGGAGGCAGAGCAAGCATCCGGGAGGAGCTCCACACCCCATGCCCTTGCGTGAGGGCTCCGGGGGAGCGTCTCGGAGTGCTCTAGCTCCGGGCTAGGGCTGTAGGAAGGGCCCACTTGGGCAGCAGAGGGCCTCTCAGCGGGCCAGGGCAAAACCGATGCGATTGTTATGCCGGTCAAACTCCGTGTAGAACTTGCGGATGAAGCTGGCACCCAGGACCCAAACAGGCCCAGTGGGCGGTGGGACATCCAGACCGTGGAGGGCCAGGGTGCACAAGTCATCATTACCATAGGAATCCTGGCAGGAAGCGAGAGGGTTTCCGCCACTGCCTGGCACCTGACCTTGCTCCTTTCCCCTCACCTGACCCCAGTAGCTGTCCTCAGCAACATTCACCCCTTCCTCTCCCATCGACTCCGGCCTCTCTTGCCCTTTCAACCCAACATGCATCCTCCTGGATGCGGGTACTGAGCGGGACACCGGGCAAACAATGCGTCAGGCACAATGCATCTCCAAGAGCTTACCTTCTGGTAGAACTTCTGATCCTACACAAGTTATTTAGCTGCCCTAAGTCCATTGGGCATAAAAGGGGTTAAAAGTATAGTCACATAGCATTACTGGGGGCAGCTGCCGAGAAGGTGGAGACAAGGGGATGAGCACAGGGATTCCCAAACTTGGCTGTACATTGGAATCACCTGGGGAATTTTGAAAAAACACTGATGCCCAGGCTTCAGCCCCAGAGCTTCTAATTTAATAGGTATGGGCTGTGGTTCGTTCCTGGGATTTTTCAAAGATTTGTTTGCTTCTTTATTTGTGAGACAGAGAGCACCGGGGAGAGGGAATCTCAAGCAGACTCTGTGCTCAGTGCAGAGCCCAAGGCAGGGCTCGATCTCACAACCCCAAGATCATGAGCTCAAGCTGAAACCAAGAGTCGGACAATTAACGGACTGCACCACCCAGGCGCCCCTTGTTAGTGGGATTTTTAAAGCTTCCAGGTGACTCTCACTTGTAGCTGAGTTTGAGAACCACTGATGGGGCATAAGACCTGGTCCCTTTTAGAGGCCCCTGCGCCCCCGTCCTCCCTGTCGCCGAGGGACGGCTTGGATCCTCACCGGTAACACATAGTCCGAGCTGCTGAGGGTGTAGGCTCTTCCTCCAAGGTGGAAGGAAATGTCGGGGAGGGTCGGCACCTGGTTGCAGTTCACGACATACTGAGGGGAAGGTAAAAGGAATCCGCTGAGTGTGGGAAATCCCCCAGCAGACACAGCCCCATGCCTGTGGCTGGGCCCCTCTGCTGGAGGAGTGAGAGGAGAGGAGGGGAAGCCCCAGAATGGCCCCACTTGGAACCTACTGCTTCTGGGGTAATTCTGGGGCCCAGGTTGTGCTCCCAGCAGCCTCTGGTGCCCTCACTCCCCCAACTTCTTACTTCATTTGTGCTCAGTTCCTTGGCCCCCAGGGTGTCCATGAGCAGCCTCAGGGAGCTTGTGGGACCCGAGATGTACGACGCACCAGTATCGACCACCACCATGCAGCCCTCCTCGCAGACCACGGTGGCCGACCTCACAGACACCCTGGGGGAGGACAGTTGGAGCGTCAGACAGACAGCAGGCTGATGGGACCCCGCCAGGCTGCATAGTTTCTCTGAGTGAGGCCAGTGGCGGGGGCGGGGGCCCATGCTGGTGGCCCTGGGATGCACTGGAGGATGGGAAGGCATGCACTGGAGGAGGAAAGGTGCCGTCCCCGTTCCCAGCATACCGCCTGGTGACCCGCCGCCTCCTCTCAGTGGACCCCCTCCCCTCTGCTCGTCATAACTCCGTGTTCCCCAGCCCTGGGCAGAGCGCCCAGAGAGCAAATGTAGGCTGTGCCTTAAGAAGGTACTGCATTTTAGGACAGAGGACAAGACGGTAAGGCTGCTCCTTCCCACCCCTACCCCCCGCAGCAACAGCAGCAGCAGTTCTGGAGAGCAGGAGGGTGGAGGGTTCCTGACCCTTTCATCTTGATCTGCCAGGAGCCAGTCTGGCTGACGCTCACGTAGTGGAAATTCCCTTGGTAATACTGGGGGTCGCTGCCTCCCAAGACAAGCTCTCCTCCGAGCAAGTGGGAATCCCTAGAGGAAAGATCAGAGCTCCTGGAGACCCGGCACCCCAGCAACCAGGGCAGTTGGGCAAGGAGACAGGGGTGGGGGTGGGAGGGAGAGGGCAGAGGACAGAGGACGGTGGGAAGGGTGGCATGGCCGGGAAGCTGCAGGAACACCACTTCTCCACCTTCCTTGCACCCGCTCAAGCATCTCCCCCCAGAGAAGGATCCGGCACAAGGACCATGAGCAGAAGGCAAGGTGACAGTTGGCTGCACCCTCACTTGGGTTTGGGCAGCTGCAGGTTGAGGTGTGTGGGTTGGGGAGCTCTCGGGGACCTGTGGGGTCAGAGCGGGTAAGGGGCAGGAGGCGAACTGGAAGGAGGGGTGGACAACTTCGGCATCCGGCAGAGCTGGGGCCTGCACAGGCGAGTTGGGCTGGATGGCCGCTGTGAATCTGACCCTGGTGTTCAGGAGGGGCAGGGGCAGGGGCAGGGGCAGGGGTCGGGGGTGGGGCTCAGCTCCTTACTTGAAGTTTCTGCAGAGAAAGAGACACAGCAGAGAGGGGGGCTAGGTTTCAGCTGCGCCTCACCAGTCTCTCTGCCGGGCAGGGTGGGTACCATTCCCTCCTTTTACCCTTTAGGTGAAGTCCCACAGCAGGGGGCAGTGGGGTGAGCGGAGCCAGGCTCCCGGTGCCCTGTCCACAGCGAACCCCCTTGCCTTCCTCTCCTCCCTGCTGCACAGCACTTCCCACCGCAGGAGGCTGGTTTCCCATGCGCATGTGTGGGCTGGGGGTTTTCCAACGGGCACCGGGGAGGTTTGGCACATGCTCTGTGGGCACGTGTA